TCAAAAGTCTTCGTGGGTTCTTTTACTAATGGTATGATTGCTTATATGTCTATTTTTTCTTTAATTTGGGTGCTATCTTAAAATGCTTATTATCTTAAATCCCTTAATAAAGGAAAGTGGATATTCAGGCCTTCCATATCACATGATCCTGGCTTCTCAGAATGGTTCCATAGAGTTTTATTTCTGTTCCATTTTCTTATAGATGACCCAGACCCGCTCAGTTCCAGTAAATGATGCACTTGTATGATATACAGTAGTGGTACATAGTGCTGCTGTTATGAAATTGTGATGGGGATGAGAATTCAACTACAGCGGCAATGTAGGAGGCACAAAGAAGCCTCCCAGCATCCTGAAAACAAAATAAAAAACAAAAAGGAGAGGGGGAGAGAAAGTGAGCCTTCTGCTGAGAGAACTCTCTAAATACCATGCTATTCCCTAGCACTCTTATGGGTCAGAGTGCTTTTTGGTTCCCATGATAAGTTAGTAGTTTTTGTTTTTAAGCTCTTTTGCCATAAGACATCAGTATTCAGACTTATTAAATCATAAGAAAACAAAAGTATCTTAGAAATTGTCCTTGGAATATGAATGCTCTGCGTCTTTTTTGGCTTGGAGTTAAAGGGTAAACTGCCTGAAATGAGACCTGAAAAGTCAAGCTCTAGTTTACAAACCATGAAGAAATCAAAAGTCAATTTGTATGGACTAAGCCTGCATTAGAACAAGTGTTGTTGCATAAGAGTATTTATTCTGTGGACTTAAATGATTGCAATTTTTCAGAATTTTTATTTTAAAACTATTCCTAACAAAATAAGGTGACTTGTTAAATTTAGGTTGAGTTTAATTTTTGTGTTTTCTCAAGTGTTTGTGTTGCAATCCTGAGAATGAAATGTGATACACACCAGCTTTTCAAGAAAGTTTAACTCCTGACAACTCCTGAATTTAGAGTCTGGGATGTGTGAGTTTATATAAAGCTGGCAGTTTCTTCAATAGCTCAGGAGTTGAATAAAACAAGTAGTAACGCCAAGTAAATTTATAATTTTTTTCCCTTGGTGTGCCAAATTAAAAAATGTTTTAGCAGTGAACAAACTGCAAGAATATTTGCAAGGATAAAGTATCCAATGCTATTAGAGCCAGTGTAAAAGCTTTTGAATGGGGTGATAGTCTGTCATCATTATATGACCTCAGACTATTAGAAAATGGAATAATCTTGAATTGTTCTGCAAGACAGGGACAGATGTAGATGTTTGTGATTAGTATCAGTGAGATTATGTATGAGGATGCAGGGATTGCGTGAATGGTCATTTTAATTAATGTGGTAATGTAAGTTTGTGCTATCTATGAAAATTCCATAGAATCACAGAATGCTTAAGGTTGGAAGGGCCCTCTAGAGGTCATCTAGTCCAACCCCCTGCACACGCAGGGTCACCTAGAGCACGTGGCACAGGGGTATTTATATACACTGATTAGATCCCCTCTCAGCCTTCTCTTCTCCAGGCTGAACAGGCCCAGCTCCCTCAGCCTCTCCTCATAGGGCAGATGTTCCAGGCCCCTGATCATCCTTGTAGCCCTGTGCTGGACTCTCTCCAGCAGCTCCACATCCCTCTTGTCCTGTGGCGCCCAGAACTGGACACAGTACTCCAGATGCGGCCTCACCAGGGCTGAGTAGAGGGGCAGGATCACCTCCCTCGACCTGCTAGAGATGCTCTTCTTAATGCAGCCCAGGATTCCATTGGCCTTCTTGGCCACGAGGGCACACTGCTGCCTCATGGTCAACTTATCATCCACTATGACAGCCAGGTCTTTCTCTGCAGAGCTGCTCTCCAGAAGGTCGGTCCCCAGCCTGTACTGGTGTCTGGGGTTATTCCTCTCCAGGTGCAGGACCTTGCACTTGGCCTTGTTGAATTGCATGAGGTTTTTCACCGCCCAGTTGTCCAGTCTGTCCAGGTCCTTCTGGATGGCAGCGCAGCCCTCTGGGGTATCCAGCTACTCCTCCCATTTTGTATCATCAGCAAACTTGCTGAGGGAGCACTCTGTGCCTTCATCCAGGTCATTGATGAATAAATTGAACAGGACTGGACCAAGGACTGACCCCTGGGGGACCCCGCTAGCTACAGGCCTCCAGCTAGACTCTGCACCGCTGATCACCACTCTCTGGGCCCTGCCATCCAGCCAGTTCCTAATCCACCTCACTGTGCACTCATCTGTCCCACACGTCCGGAGCTTGCCCAGGAGGATGTTGTGAGGGACGGTGTCAAAAGCCTTGGTGAAGTTGAGATAGACGACATCCACCGCTCTCCCCTCATCTATCCAGCTGGTCATTCCATCATAGAAGGCTATCAGGTTAGTCAAGCAAGATTTCCCCTTGGTGAATCCATGCTGACTACTCTTGAGCACCTACTTGTCCTCCATGTGCCTGGAGACAACGGCCAGTATGAGCCGTTCCATCACTTTTCTGGGGACGGAGGTGGGGCTCACTGGTCTGTAGTTGCCTGGGTCCTCCTTCTTGCCTTTTTTGAAGACTGGAGTGACATTGGCCTTCTTATTTGTATCATGTGTATTATTAGCACTCAGAAGGTTTGTACCTTGTACAACTACTTCATTATTTTAGATTAAACCTACATCGCTAACAGAACAGTTTTATTTGTCAGCGCCTGTGCAGATTTATAGTACTTTTGTGATTCTGTGAATGCTAGGTCACTGCTATAGCAGAAAGATCCCTGCATTCCTGGATTTCTGGGTTTAAGTCTGTGCTGGAATATAGTATCCTACAGGACACAGGGGCTTTCTTATAATGTATTTAGATGTATTTAGATCTCCTGGTGCAAGATAAGCCTTATTTATTTTAATTGTTTTGGAAGTCTTTAGAATACCTACCTATTTGTAGTGTGATTCATTGGAAGAGATGATGACTCACGACTCTTTTTTTCCATTACTTGAGATAAATTAGTAGATGTTGTAACGAATTTTCCTTCTGTGTGACAGCTCTGTCTCAGAAGGAACTCTGCTGATTGAGTAACCCTAATAGCTTGACTGTTCCTAAAGCATTAAGTATGATATTGTATCCACAAGAGGCAGAGCTTTCTATCATTCAAAAGCATACATTTTCTCAAAATTAAGAGCTGTAGAACCTGTTGGAGCAATTACAAAATGGGCTATTTTCTCTTGTTTGTAAAACAGATTCCCTGCCAGAAAAGATGTATCTTTACCTGAAACCATGATAGCCCCCAGAATAGTGGGGCATGAAAAAGAGAATATTTCAGAGCATTTCCTATAGCCAGTTTTTTATCACTAACAGGAATCAGTGTATCTGTGGAGAAATGAAGTCTTTCAAGTAATCCTACTCAAAAAAATTGTAATTTGGAAACATGTCAAAAAAAGAATTGAATGCCTTCCCACTGTTACCATCTGAGTGTTAAAAGCATTATATAGAAGAGAGATGAACACTGCAAATAAGTCTTGCACATTAGACAAGTAAATGTCTTTTCACTGTAGCACAATTATGAAAGTGATGCATAACAGTAAAAAGAAAAGATCCAGAATGTTGGTGCAATATAAAAATATTATCAAAAATATCTTGATTCCATTTTAGATTATTTTTTAGGCATCAGATGGTTTGTGGCTACTGGTTAGGGTTTTTTTTTTTTTTAGCATTCTGTATACAATACTTCTGTTGTAAATTTAAAGCACAACATGGTGTGTATCAGTACTGATGAAAATATCATTTTTGCAAAAATATCACAAACCATGCCAGCTTTCATCCATCAAAGAGAATGGCTATAGTATTTGTGTAAAAATAAACCTTATCTGAGAATGGCTGTTTTCAGAATTGTGAATGCATAAAATATATTTTGGTAATATTATTTATTTATGTGTGCAATTTTCAGTGCCAAAATGCATGTTTTTTCATATAGCACTAAAGTGAGGCAAAGAGTAGTTTTCAAATTGCAACTCATATGTCACATTACAGTAGATACAAATTTCTACATTTTCGTTTGTTTCTTGTGAAAACTGTTGTACAATTTTTTGGCTGTATTTTCCAGCAATCCACTGCATGCCATTTGTGTAAGGGTTCTTTCCGTAGTTCTTGTGAATTGTTTCACCCATAATAACCACTAAACTTTTAATCTTTGTGTGGGAATCTAGGTTTTTGGCAAAGTATTTCGTTACCTCAGTCTTGTATCAAGTTGCTGTATTTTTCAGCTTGTTACATTGATAATGATTGTTTCACTAATTAAATACTTTAACACAAAAAAAGTTTACTTGGACAGGAATTGCATTTGGTTGTAAATTTAAACATGAAAAAATGTGCAAAATATGTATGTTGTTAAGAATAAAATATTTCAAAAAAGAATAGTAGAGATAAAAAAGAACTTTTCAGCTCAAACACAACAAGCATGTTTTATGTATACAAATACCTGAAGAGAGAATGTAAAGAGGATGGGGCCAGACTCTTCTTGGTGGTGGCCAGTGACAGGGCAAGGGGTAACGGGTACAAATTAAACACAGGAAGTTCCGTCTCCATATGAGGAAGAACTTCTTTGCTGTTTACGTGCCAGAGCCCTGGCACAGGCTGCCCGCAGAGGCTGGGGAGGCTCCTTCTCTGGAGATCTTCAAACCCGCCTGGATGGACCCTGTGCCCCTGCTCTGGGTGTCCCTGCTGGAGCAGGGGTTGGACTAGACGATCTCTAGAGATCCCTTCCAGCCTCAGCCGTTCTGCGATTCTGTGATTCAATTGTGATTCAGTGATCATTGTGATCATTTGTGATTCAATGATGACACAGTTGAAGAGTGAAGTTTCTAGTTGCCTAACATCTAGTCACTTAATAATGTAGATATTGCAGAATCAAAATATGTTTCAGAAAACTGAAAATCCCTGCAGATTTTGTAGTTCTTTCAAGTAGGGCTTGGAAATCCCAAAGAAGTGGAGATGAGCCTGTTCTGTTTCTTCTCAGA